CGGCGCCTCGAGCTCGCGCCGCAGCGCGGCCTCTTGGTCGGCGAGGTGCTTCCTGGGCGGGCCGTGCAAGACTGCTCGGGTGGCCCTCCGGCAGCGAGGGCCGCGAGGGTTTGGGGGGGCCCCTCCATGGAGGAGAGAAAAGAAGTGCATGAGCGTGAACTGTCGGAGCCATGCGCGGACTTCTCGGACCGGCCTGGGGCCCCCCCAGCGGCGCCTCCAGCGCCGATCCAAGAGATCCTCGCGGAGCTTCAAGCATGTGTGTCCATGCCGTGCTTTGTGTTTCGCCTCCAGGCTCTGGCCGAAATCGGCGCGTCCCAGGAAACTCCGAACGCAGCCTCTCAATCTGGATGGGAACGGCCAGAATTTCGGCCAGCGCCCACAGATTAACTGTGGCTCCAAGTTCCAGCCTTGCACAGCTCCCAAGAGCGGCCGCACCAGCGGGTCGAATATTGCATCCTGCGACAAACAAGATGCATCCGAAAACGAAATCCCCGAGCACACCTACGTCTTCCTGTCATGGCCTTGACGCCGAGATCCTTGGCAGCCTCAGCAGAGCGTACCGCTACAAAAACAAGAAATCAAAACGAACAAACAGCAAACGTCCGATGGCTCTGCTCGACCGTGAACGGCCGCGAGGACGGGCTTACAGCACAGTGTTCTCGCGCCTCCGGGACCCGACCCCAGAAACAACGCGTACGACTTCGACCCAGAACTTCGGAGTGAGGGCTCGTGGGGGCAGAGCGTTACACCTTGGGCCTGCGGTCCACGTATGAAGCGTGTGGCTGACCCCTCGTTGGGGGGTACACTGCAGGATCAGTCAACGCCGACCCCACAAATCGGACCGAATCGGAACGTGCGATGGACCAGGCCGCATCCGCACGGAGCCAGAATCCACTGGAATCGGCCGCGCCAGGCGGCACAACTGCGCCTCGCAGGCATCGGGCCGCATCGGTTCGCTGGAAGATCAGCATCGCACCCAACAATGCCCAGCGAACTCGACATCGAATCGGACCGATCAAACCAGCTTCCGGGGAGCAAGAAGAGGCCATCTCACTAATTCTTGTTGGCCCGCGCGGATTTCTTGGGCATGGAGCGCGCCAGGGGCGGCGCGGGAGGCGCCGCCAGGGGGGCCCAGGCGCTGGCCCAGGAGATCCGCGCGGAGCTCCGAAAGCTGATGTTCGCGCGCTCTTCGAACCACACCGAGCGAACCCGAAATCGAACCAGACCGATCCAAACAGCATGGGCCACGCCGTGTTCTTCCGCCAGGCCCCACCGCGCTGACGCCAGCGAAGCGAACTTCGTCCTGCTTCTGCCGAGCCCCCCGCCAGCTTTAAGTCGGGCCTGTCCCCCTACAGGGGGATGTTCGACGAAAAGTAGATCCAAAAATAATCCAAACATAGTCTGGGGACTATTTTTTGCATTTTTGGGTTTTTTTTATTTTTCGTCGAAAATCCCTCTGTAGGGGGACAGGCCCGACTTAACGCCAGCTTTTTGCACCGGCCCCTGCCACCGAGGGGAAGCAAGTCTCTCCCGGCGCGCCCGGGCTCCAAAGAGGAGGAGCACCGGGAGGACCGAGGTCCAGACGTGCTCGCGTCCAGCAAGAATCAGGACGGGAGTTGTTTCGCCGTCTTCGGCCTCTGGTGGGGAGCCCTCGCCGGGCCCCCAGAAGCAGCAAGAAACAGCTCGGGACCCCCCCAAAAAACCGGCCCTTGGGGAAGGGGTCGGGACTTCGGAGGGCCGCGTACCGAACAAACATGGACTTCGCGTGTCTGGGGATGGGGACGGAGCGAACAGCTGGGAGCCAACGCCTAGGAGATCCTCGAGGGAACGACATCAGGCTTTCAAGCCCGATCGACGGGGCCATGGAGCCTGGCGAAGCCTGGCTTGGCCCAGGATCAAGCCGAACGAAGCAGGATCAGAAGCCAGATGACACGGGACGTGCCCGGAGTTGGCCAGTGTTCGACCACAGGTATGCAAGCGCCCATGCTGCATGTAACCTCTCAGGAGCTGCCACCGACGCACAGGGGGACACTCGGTGGCGAGCGAGGGGGGAAGTGAAAAGGAGAGGGTCTTCCCAGAAGGCGGCAGGGCTTCCCAGAAGCCCTGGGGCCTTCCGACAAGTTTGTTCTGTGCCTTCGGAGGAGGCCTAGGAACACCTCTCAGAAGGCCGGGGGACTTCCGAGCCTTCTGAGAAGGCCCGCCCCTTCTCACTTCCCCCCCAGGCTCGCCGAGATTTGGCCAGTTGTCGACGATATGTAACTATACCTGCGCCGATGCTGCATTTTAACTTCCCAGGAGCTGCAACCGACGATCTGGGAATAAGACCGGCTCCTGTCCACGTTGATCAGGACTTGCGGCTTGTGCCGCCACGGGCGCTGCCCGCCAGGGACGGCTCTGTCGGCTGCTCGCTCGGCGGCCGCTGTCGGTTCTGAACAGCACAGGTGGCGACATCCGAACCCTACCGCCACCAACCATCGATACCCCTGAATCGATGGTATTGGCGGCGAGCCCAGGGGGGAAGTGAGAAAGGGCGGGCCTTCACAGAAGACTCGGAAGTCCCCCGGCCGACTTCTGAGAAGCTTTCTAAGCCTTCCCCGAAGACACGGGAAACTTCTCAGAAGGCACGAGGGCTTCTGAGATGTCCCGCCGCCTTCTGAGAAGACCTCCTCCTTCTCGCTTCCCCCCCTCGCTGGCCGCCAATGGGAGGCCGGGGTAGGGTTCGGCTTCCGCCATGTGCTTCACGAATTCCGAACACTCCCCCCGCCGCCCATCGAGTTGCCCGGATCGTCGATCGGCGAAGGTACAGTCGGGGCCTTGACCTGAGGAACCCTAAATAAGGAACGAGGCCACCTTTTCCCATAAGTCAAACTTCCATTCCCCATGGAAAACCTAAGGAAAACCCAAGGCAAACTGTAAAACAGTCAAGGAACACCGAGCCCCCCCCCCAACGAAAAGGGTTCCTTCTCCAGAGCCCCGACTGTAAAGGGTTCGGATCTCGCCGCCGACAGCAGCTGCTGCTCGGCACCGCCCCCCTCCGCTCTGCCACAGCTCCCCCGGACATCCGCAGCCGTGATCTTGTCGGTGTCCCGGGCCAGAAGTCGCGAGGCACGGCATCTCCCGGAGTCTCGGGCCCTTTCCGCACGGGGTGGCGAGCCGCCTCCCGACGGCCCCTCGAGGAAGGAGGCTCTGGCCCTCAGAGGCCGAGAGCGAGGAGAAGACGCCGCCGAGACTGCCTCAGAGTGAGCGACGATCAGAAACGGGTCTCACAGGAGATGACACAGCGGCCTTACGCGGAGGCTCACGCGAGCTGCCAGCGCGGCACGCCACACTGGAAACCAGAGCGCTTACACGAGACCTCACGCAGGACGCTTACGCGCCCATGTCGGTGAAGACGACCCCGTTGTCTTCCGTAGGTGTTGACCGGCTGCACGCAAAAGTTTGTTGTCTGCGCTTTCTCGGGGAGGAGGTGGAGGAGAGCTCAAAAGAATGACAGCGCGACGAAACCAAGCAGTGCTGGGATGAAGGAAGAGACCTGCAATAGCCCCAGACTCGGGAGGAAAGGGGAAAAGAAGAAGGAGGAGGAGGAGGAGGAGCAGGAGGAGAAAAAGCGGCTTGGGCAATCGACGGCTTGAGCCATTCTTCGGCGCGCGGCTTCAGGGGGGTCCAGGGGGTGGGGTGGGGGGGGGGCGCAAATCCGAGCGCACAGGCTGGTGCTGGGGAGACCCGTGCGGGTCCACAGCAGAAGGTCACTCTGGCGAAGGGCCAATCCTACGCGCGGCCGAGTTTGATGTCTGGGCAAGATTGGAGACTTCGAAATCGGCACCAAAACCACAACAGGGGGGGTGCCTGCACCGGGGGGAGAAGATGCTAGATTTGGGCGGTGGTACTACATCTTTCGGCAAACTGGGGAACACGCATCTTACAACCACCATCTTCGCTCGGTGGAGGCACACCGCCGACATTGGTGTTGGTGTCAACCTCTAGGCCTCCGACGAGAATGAATGCATGGGACCTCCAGGATTAGTCAGCACCGAATTAGGACACCGGATCGAATCCGAATGCGCGTCAGATCGAGACGCATCGGCACGGAGTCGGAATCGAATCGACTCGGCCGCGCCAGGATGCACAGCAGCGCCAGGCAAGCATCGAGCCGCATCGGATCGTCGGAACGTCGTGGAAGACGGAGGCGCAGAATCGAGACCAAATCGGACCGATGTAATGCAGAATTCTGAGAATCGGCGGGTTTGGAGGATGTCTCGGGCGCCGCGGAAGTTTCCTAGCGTTCCGGATCAGGGCCCCCTGAGCCCGGACACGCTAGACGGGGACATCCAACATGCCTCGAAACCCGTTTTTTCCCGACTGCGGCACCAACAAAAAACTGCACTGCACAAGAGGGCGGCACGAACCAAAAACTGCACCCCAACATTCCCAGACAATGGTCATGGAGGCCTGCAAAACCTCCCCCAGACCCGGATAAAGACCCCAATCCTGCAGCGCAACATCAGAAAAATGCACTGGACGACCAAGTGCAGCAACAACAAACAGATACTGGACGACCAAAGTCTGACTTTGAAGCAAAGGGTGTCGTTTTCCCGACTTGCCAATGTCCTGGTAAGTCTGTGTCCTGGTCTCGGAGGGGCCGACTGGAAAGCGCTGAGAGCGTTCCGGAACGCTCTGGGCCGATTCATCCCGATTCGAGGCCTGTCTGATCGTAACCGAGTCGGATCGGGCCGCCCGGAATCGATGTCGAATCTGAGCAATCGGAGGGAAGTGGACCGTACATCCCTGGGCCAGCAAAAACCTTCCCTTTGATGCGTAGTCGACCCCCTCCCTGCTCTGGGAACACGACTTGTGCACACCACCCCCACAAACAAGCTGGTCCGGCACAAGACCTTGGAGAGGGGGTTGTGTAGAAAAATGGCATCTCTTGGGGACGCGATGTTTGTACGCCACCCCGGCGATTGAGCTGATCCAGCACAGGGTACGCGCGCGGGGGCGGAGGCCATAAATCTTCCCCCGATGTCCTGGCTTTCGGGTCACAGTTCGGGTCTCCAGCGGCCGTTCGGGACAATTCCGCACCATCAGAATGCACTCGGCGGGGCGCAGCTGATGGAAGCCGCCCCCGGCCTCGACGACCCCAAAAAACTACAGATAATCTTTGGCAATCTGCGATAGCATTTGAAAAAAACTCGGACTGGGTAACAGGAACTGCTACGGCACCTCTCGGCCAGCGTTCCTCCCGTCCTCCCTTCCTTCCTTCCCCCCACTTCCCGCTCTGATTGTTTTCCTCCTCCCTGAGAGAGGGGATGGGAAACGAGGTGGATCTGTATATAGTCCCCTCCCCCGAGAGGTGCGACTGCACAGCCAGGCCTTGGGCGCTGCTTCACGGAAGGGGCCAACAACGGGGAGGGGGGGGGGGCGGGGGGAACGGGCACATTCCGTGCACGTTTGGAGCCCAGAAGAGAGCTCCTCGAGGGCCCCAGCTAAGGCCCCGAGACGGTGCAGGAAAGGCGCGCCATTCTTCACCCATCCCCCCCCCGTCGATCGCCCCCCCCCCCACTACGCCGCGCCTGAGGCCCCCTCGATCCCAGAACGCTCGTGCAGGGCCGCGGCGCTCGGTGCATCCCTCCAGAGCGCCTCAGAGATTTTCTCGACCCGCCCTCTCGCCCGATGGAATACCGCGCCACGGCCCCGCGACGGACGCCTCGCAGGCCGGCCCGATCCTTTTTTTTTTTGTTGTTTCTCCCCCGCGGACAGGGGGGGCCAGCGTTGAAATCGCAGCTTTCTACTCCCGGGATCTTGGCCCGCAGTGGCGGGGGCGCTCAAGCCTTTGCCACCCATCGAGATACATCCTACTCCCCGCGAGGGCGGGGGAAGAGAGAGAGAGAGAGCGAGAGAGCGAGCGAGAGAGAGAGAGACGAGGACGGAGGACGCGGGAGGAAGGAGGAACGTCAGCCGGCGTGTAGGCCAGCCCGATCCTGGCTCCCCCGGGGATCGGCTACACGCAAGAGTGACCCTGGGTAAGAGTGACCTTTGGTGCGCGGCTCTTTGGGGGCCGCGGGGCCCGCGGGGGGACCAAACCTGGGCGCTCAAGCCGCTGCTCCTGCTTCGTTTTCAGCCATCTGGGGACCCATCTGTGCCCGCACCAAAGGTCCCTCCGGCGAAAGGTCACTCTTACGTCTAGTCGAGGGGAGCGGGCGCGTCCTGAACCGCTCCTCCTCCGCCCGGCGCCACAGCTCCAGCGCGTAGGCGGCCGAGTACGCCGGGCTCCCCCGCAGCGCCTGCCCCAAGGCCCGGGCGGCGGCGGGGCCCCTCCTCCTCCTCCTCCTCCTCCTCCTCCTCCTCCTCCTCCTCCTCCTCCTCACCGACGAAGCAGGACGGCGGCAGTGAGGTTGGAGACCTTCTCTCAGCTCTCGGTGCAGCCATTTCCTCAGCGTCGACGCGTTGAACCACTCCCTGCTGTCGGAGGCCTTCTGAGTGGAAGGTGGAACCGCACCGTGCGGTCGAGCGGAATATATCGCTACGCGATCAGGCAGAGACTCCAGAGACTCCTCCTCCCCTCCTCCTCCTCCCCTCCTCCTCCTCCTCCTCCTCCTCCTCCTCCCTCCTCCCTCCTCCTCCTCCTCCCCCTCCTCCCCCTCCTCCTCCTCCCTCCCTCCCTCTCTCCCCTCCCTCCCTCCTCCTCTCCTCCTGCCCCTCCGGATCAATCGGCGGCGAGCCCGGGGGGGGGGAAGGGAGAGGGGGCGGGCCTTCTCGGAAGGCTCGGAAGTCCCCCAGCCTTCCGGGAAGCTGCATGAGCTGTCCCCGAAGACACCGAAAACTTCTCAGAAGGCGCGAGGGTCGGGGGCGCCCCCGCCAGCACCAGAAGAGGGAGGATAAGATGGCGAGGGTGGCAGTGGAGGAGGAGGAGGAGGAGGCGGAGGAGGAGGAGGACAGAAAAATGCCCAACCACCGGAGAAGGCCTTTTCCTTGTCACTTCCCCTCTTCGCTCGCCGCCGACTGATCCAAGGAAAAAGCTGTACACATCCACTGCCCCAGACCTGGCCCCTTCTCTGGCCCAGGAGCGGCGTGTATGCCTCCCTGGCCAAGCCAAGAAGGCGCGCCTGGGCCCAGGGTGGGCCAGGCCTGGGGCAGCGGATCGGTATAGATCCCGTCGCGCTATAATTCCACCAGCCCCCTGGCGGAGGTGGTTTGACGCGATTCCTTTTCTCCTTCGGGCAGGGATGTTTTTGAGGGGGGAGAGACCAACAACCCGACAAACTTCCCAGAAGGCAGCCTGAACAAGGCTGGACACGGACAAGTGTACGTACCAAGCTCGATGTACGAGCGTGCGCCACTGCGCGTGCATCGACCCCGCTGCGCATAGCCTCCTGGGTCAAGCACAATGCCCACCCTCAGGACGGGATGCGCCAGACCGAACATCCCTCCCTCTCTTCTCTAATCCCACCAACCCTCTGGGCGCAAGTAGTTGGTGTTTCTTCTTTTTTCGACATTTAGACAGACTCACAAGATGTTATCTGGACGCGTTTCTGCGAGATGTTGAGAAGACTACTGCGGAAAATGTTGCGGGTTGCGGAGGGCTGCGCGACATGGTCATACTGTCCGGCCGCTGAATTAAAACCACCTGCGCGCATGGCAGGCGCAAGGATCAGTCCTCTCCGACTTTTCTCACTCCTCGTCATGGGAGGCTCGCCTGACTACAGGTTGTGGAAAGAGGTCCACCAAGCAGTCTTCCGTCGGGGAGCCTGGCGTCCGCGTCGGTGATCATCTGCTTCCTCGCGACGCGGCGGATGGAGAGCGACAGCCGGTCCCTGCGGTCCTTCTTCTCGTTCCTGATGACTATCGCAGTCACCTTGTCACCCGGAGTGAGCCATTCCTTGATGTTCGAGATGAATGTGTCCGAGATTTCAGAGACGTGGACGAGCCCAGTCCAGCCGGAATCATCCAGGTCGATGAACGCGCCCCACTCCACCAAGGACACGACAGTTCCTGTGACGATATCGCCAGGGGCGGGAAGCTCCTTGGTGAAGGCGCTGAGAACTTCCTGCATAACCATCTCTGCAGACACAGTGTCTGGTTTGATCATTTCGCGCATCTTGTCGACGCTGCTCTCCTCCGGGGTGAAGGCCGCCCAGTCCGCAGACGAAGCATCAGCTGGCTCCGCTCGCCTGACCACAGGTTGTGGAAAGAGGTCCACCAAGCAGTCTTCCGTCGGGGAGCCTCGCGTCCGCGTCGGTGATCATCTGCTTCCTCGCGACGCGGCGGATGGAGAGCGACAGCCGGTACCTGCCGTCCTTCTTCTCGTTCCTGATGACTATCGCAGTCACCTTGTCACCCGGAGTGAGCCATTCCTTGATGTTCGAGATGAATGTGTCCGAGATTTCAGAGACGTGGACGAGCCCAGTCCAGCCGGAATCATCCAGGTCGATGAACGCGCCCCACTCCACCAAGGACACGACAGTTCCTGTGACGATATCGCCAGGAGCGGGAAGCTCCTTGGTGAAGGCGCTGAGAACTTCCTGCGTAACCATCTCTGAAGACACAGTGTCTGGTGTGATCATTTCGCGCATCTTGTCGACGCTGCTCTCCTCCGGGGTGAATGCCGCCCAGTCCGCAGACGAAGTATCAGCTGGCTCCGCTCGCCTGACCACAGGTTGTGGAAGAGGTCCACCAAGCATTCTTCCGTCGGGGAGCCTCGCGTCCGCGTCGGTGATCATCTGCTTCCTCGCGACGCGGCGGATGGAGAGCGACAGCCGGTCCCTGCGGTCCTTCTTCTCGTTCCTGATGACCATCGCAGTCACCTTGTCACCCGGAGTGAGCCATTCCTTGATGTTCGAGATGAATGTGTCCGAGATTTCAGAGACGTGGACGAGCGCAGTCCAGCCGGAATCGTCCAGGTTGATGAACGCGCCCCACTCCACCAAGGACACGACAGTTCCTGTGACGATATCGCCAGGGGCGGGAAGCTCCTTGGTGAGAACTTCCTGCATAACCATCTCTGCAGACACAGTGTCTGGTGTGATCATTTCGCGCATCTTGTCGACGCTGCTCTCCTCGCCGCCCTCGTGGCGCAGGAGCCGGCCCGCGAGCTCGGCCTTGGCGCCCTCGAGCTTCAGGAAGCGCTCCCGGCACAGGCACTTCAGCTCGGCCTCCCGCGAGGGCGCGGAGTATGCGCCTCACGAGCTCGGCCTTGGTGCCCCCGAGCTTCAGGGAGCGCTCCCGGCACAGGCCCTTCAGCTCCGGCAGCGTCAGCCCGAGCAGCTCGGCCTCTCGGTCGCCTCCCCCAGCTCGTTCCGCTCTCTGCACGACGGACCTCCTCCCGCAAGCGAGAAGTGCACGTCTCTGCGCCCGAGGACCGAGCACGGGGGCGGCGGCCCCCAGCAGCGCCACCACGCCCGCGGGATGCGCCGCTGGCCCGCCGCGGGCGCCTCTGGCGACCCACGGCGCCAAAGCCCGGGCAGCACCAGCGCACGGCCCCGCGGCGCGCGGCCGCTCGGGCGGGTGCCGGGCGCCTCTGCCAGAGACCGCGGCGGGGGCCCACCCGTCGCAGGGCGCCGCGAGGCGCGGCGGCGGCGCCGCCGCGGGCGCCTGGCCCCCGCCCCAGCCGCCGGGCCGCGGCGCCGGCGCCCACGCCGCGGCCGCGGGAGGCGACAGGAGCAGGCCCCCCATGGCTCGCCCGGCGGCCCGTCGGGGGCTGCGGGCCTGCCTTGAGCCAAAATGGCTACGGACTCTCTGGGCGCAGGTAGTTGAGCGCGCTTCACTTTCCAGCCCGCCTCTTCCCCTTCGGCGAAGGGTTTACCACCTCTCCTCCACAATATACACCCCCTCCCCCACCCGACCGGCGACTAACCAGGAACAATGACAACAGGCTCCCACCATCCCTGTCAAAAAATACCTTGGCGACGAACCCAATCCTGTGTAAACGGAACGATTGGGAACTATAAGCAGAACCGCTCAATACGCGAGAAGCCGTTGGGAACCACGCTCGGCACGCACTCCCGCTTGTTGGAGACACCATGTGAATCCAACCACTGGCGCCTTCGGTGGAGCTCCCCTTGGGCCAGGGGTCTGCCGAAATCTGGCGGGTCAGCATGTGAACCCAGCCACTGGCGCCCTCGGTGACACTCCCTGTCAGGCGTCAGGCCACGAAACGTGTGAGGGGTCTGACCGAAACGGGCGGGCCATCATGTGAACCCAGCCACTGCAGCCTTTGGTGGAGCTCCCTGTGGGGCCACAAAACGTGTGAAGCGTCTGCCGAGCTGGGGAGGCACAACATGTGAACCCAGCCACTGGCGCCTTCGGTGAAGGTCCCTATGGGGCCACGAAACATGTGAGGGGTCTTCCCGAATTGTGATGGGGCGGTGGTGATGATGGTGATGACGACGGTGAGCATTATGAAAACGGTACATGATGAATGATGATGGCGGAAACGCGCATGAAGGCGATGATGTTCAGTATGAGGATGATGACGGCGATGTTGATGCTGATTACAAGGATGAGGAGGACGAGGAAAAGAGGGAGGAGTGGGGAGACGAAAGAGGGAACGACGGAGAAGACACGCGGCAATACGAATTCAAAACGAGGGACCCAACACACCGGAGGGCTGGGAACACACATGATACATTTTGCGGCAAAAAAGTCTGGACCATACGCGGGCACCCCGCGATCACTGCGCGTTGGCTCCGCACAGTGACGGGAGGGGTGCTAGCAGATTGCGAGCTGCGCACAAGCCCACCATCCCAGACAAGGAGGGCCGATCGGAGTAAGCGAGACGGATATTGGCGTGTGGGTAATGGACTGATCACTGCTCCGCATGAATAAACGCCCCCTCCCCCACCCAACTGGGAGCAAACCCAAAACCATGCTAACCCCCCCCGCCTCCCTTACCCAAAAAATACGGAGCACACCGTGTGGCAAAATATCGATCACGCGCGGGCACCAAGCGATCACGTTGCATTGTCCTTTTTGACAAGGACAAACGGGGGCGGCAGATGCCTACTGCGCGCAGTCCCACTACCCCTTCCGAATGATCCTGGCGAAGGGCCCAACCGCATGCAGCTGCGATCATCCCGAAGAAGGTGAAAAGGAGGAGTGGATCTGGCAAGAGGATTGGGACGTGGGCGGGGAGAAAAAACTGACATGGGCGGGCGGGGGGGTCTTTTACCTCGGCGACGGCCTCGCCAAGGAGCTGGATTTCACCAGGTTTACCCGCGAAGCCTCACACGAAGAGCGGCCCGCCCGAGTCTCGCGGCCTCTGACTGCCCACCTGTGGGGCCTCGCGCCGCGGACGACCTGCGCGCGTCGCTGGAATCCTCTCGGGGCGACCAGCGCGCGTCGCGAGGCCTCCCCTGCGCTCTGCTACGAGACCGATGTTGCATCACAGCATCAATTCGGCCCCTGACTTTCGTCCTGGGCTCGGTTTAGTGAAGTGATGAATTTCGGGGTCCTTGCGTGGGAAAAAAACATTACTTCACTAATCTGGGGCCCCTGCGGCCTCAGTGGGCCCTGGGGCCCAAAATTAGTGAAGTGATGGTTTTCGGGCCTCGGACCAAATGCTCACGGCTCCCGCGCGCTCTGCTTCCCCATGGATCTGGACGGAGGGGGCGGTGATGGGTAAAAACGTCCAAGGTGGCCCAAAATCGAGCCAAAAGGGCACAAGAAAGCCAAAAAGGAGCTCCAGAATGGTTCGACATAGCGCAAGATTGCTGGGCATGGCTTGCAAGATGCCCTCTGTCTTCCGTGAGCTCTTTGAGGCCTCACGATACCTCTACGAGTGCCCAGGAGAGCCCCGGGGGCCCCAGAGGGCCCCAAGACGGTCCCAAGATCGCCCAGGAGCGCCCCGAGCGCGCCCCACAAGCGCCCTAGAGCCGCCAAGGCATGACCCATTGGAGGGCAGATTTTCCCCTCAGGGTGGCCCGCTGTGCCCCCGCTCTGCAGGCTCAATGGGGCCACATGTGGAGGTCCCTCTGGGGCGACGAAGCACCGTGTTGGGTGGGGGGGACGCATGTGCACATCGCCACTGGGGCATTAGGTGGAGCTCCCTATGGGGCCACGACGCGCCGTGCTGGGGGGAAGACGCACGTGGACACCGCCAGTGGGGCCTTAGATGGAGCTCCCCATGGGGCCACGAAGCGCGGTGCTGGGTGGGGGAGACGCATGTGGACACCGCCACAAGGGCCTTAGGTGGAGCTCCCTATGGGGCCACGAAGCGACACGCTGTCCTGGGCGGGGGAGACGTGTGGACACCGCCTCCAGGGCCTAAGGTGGAGCTCCCTATGGGGCCACAGCGCGCCGTGCTGGGTGGGGGAGACGCATGTGGACACCGCCACTGGGGCGTGGAGCTCCCTATGGGGCCACGAAACGAAACGCTGTCTTGGGTGGGGGAGACGCATGTGGACACCGCCCGTGGGGCCTTCGGTAGGGTTCCCTGGGTGGGGGGGACACCACCTCCAGGGCCGAATGTGGAGTTCCCTATGGGGCTACGAAACGCTGTGCTGGGT